ATGTTGCCTCTGAACGCAGCACCTTACAGGGAGTTCAGGTCTCTGCTGAATCCCTTATACAGATCCTTTTTCAGGGCAGGTCTCAGCCTGCAATACTGCAAGAAAATTATACCTTTCTAGAGAGCGCTGCTATCAGTTACTCACTGTCATTTATTTGTACGGTGTTCAGGAGAAATTGGGTTTCTGTTATAGCCCAACTCTGCTGCCTCCCAACAAGTGATACCAGGCTCAAAACTAGTGTGTTTGTACTCAAAGCTAGCCTGGGGAGGGTGTAGAAGTTTTCCATAAAATCTGAAGCGATTCAGATTAGGGGCTGTTTGGTTACAACCCTTCAATGATTGCAAAAATCTTTGAGCCAGTCAGGGTCTAGGCTAGCAAAACTTCTCTCTTGTTGACCACAAATGCAACCAAGCATTCAGCTGCAGAGAGAGCCAAAGCATATTTGGACAGTTTCCAAAAGGGTAATTAAAAGCCAGCTGGTTACAAGTCAAAGAGAAATATGCACAGAACCTTAGTGTAGGTCCTACAAAAACAAGCATTTGCAATACACTTTGAGATCCCAAGATGAAAAAGTACAATACTGCTGTGTATTGGGAGAGTAATGAGTCTAAAACTGAAAGAGCTCTCAACTGTGATGGTCCCAAACATAGCCCCTTTACTCCTATTGAAGTACCACATGGATGGTAGTTCAGCTGGGGGGTCTGGAAAAGGAAGCATTGCAAAGTAAGGGCCCAGTTATGACCCCAAGCCTCCTGGCAGCAAGTGGAGGTGAGAGGACCTGGTGCTTTGAGCAACAAGAGCAGGGAAACCTGGAAGTGGAGTCAAATCCTTGCTCTGCCACTGATTTCATGCATGCCCACGAGCAAATCACTTAGTCTCTCTGTGTCTAGCCTCCCATCTTTACAATAGGGATAACACAGCCCTATCGCCTGAACACTGGGAAGATCAACATGAAGTGATATGCTACAGTGAGAGAAGTGCCTTGGATCAGTGGCAGGTGTAGCTACCCTGCGCTATCCTAGAATGCACACAGGTTCACTCTGACATCCATCACCACTCTTCAGCCCGGGAGTGTCCAACCGCCTCTTCCAACCCTTCTTGTGGCTTCTATTTCAGGGTCATTGCAAAAGGCAACCTCAATTTTATTCAACACATTGTAAGTGCAACAGCAGTGATGGGGATCCAATTTGAGAAGGTGTGGAATGAGGGCTGGTCCAGTAGCAGGAGAGGCTAAACTTTCATGCCTTGAGAACAGATGTCTTCCCCCCACCCTCCCCCACTCCTCTGTGCATGCTGCAAAGAGCCTGTAGAAACAGCAACTACAACACTGGCAGCAGACCCCTGCTAGGCTTTTACACACCACTAATTATGGGTTAGCGACCATGTCATCTCGCTGATGGGAAGACCCTAAATACAGCACAGAAATGTGCAATTAAGCCCTTGCCTTTGCCAGCCTTCAAGAACTAAGAGCTCAGCACAGGCCTCTCCCTACTCCCCCCTCCAAGAACAGCAGTGGCTGGGTTTTATCTTGTATTGCAGAAAAAGCCAGCTGACAAACAAGGAATAAGTCCCTTCTCTCCATCTCCTCAGCTGTAAGATAGGGTAATACTTCAGGGAAGCATCTCTGTACAGTGCCATAATCAAGCATGTGTTGAAGTCCCCTTGGTTTCAAGTTAATCATACACTGACATAAGTGTTTTACTGAAGGAGGGGAAAACCTAGCCCAAAGTAATGTGGGCACCTCATTCCCTTAAGCTCTTTGGGAAGGGGAAGAAGAGGAAG